AATATAATCCATGTCTATCCTGACATCTACACGTACGGTATATACTAAGGCCTATTTGTTCCTGGCTTATCAAACTACGGTCACAGACCGTTTTGACCTAACACCAAGCCTTTACCGCACTCAATCACTATCCGAATCACAAAGAGCCAAGGTCTTTTAACTGCAAGTAATTTACATATCAATGGTGCGTGGCACCTGTACATGTAACAATGGTGTTAATAATAATTTTTTTATCTTGTTAAATTTTTGATAAGTAATTCATTTAAAGACTTCTTGTCATATTTTAGTTAAAACAAGTTTTATTAGGATGCGTGCAGAAAGAATATTGATATGCGGAAAAGTAAAATTAACCCCCCCCCCCCCAATTTTTTTTTGTTGAAGTGTGATGCTAAACAATGCAATGCATCATTTCAAAATATAGTTTCTTGGGTACTTGCTCATTAGGTGTTGCTTTACTCTATTTTTAAAGGGAAAAAAGTCGCTGCTTGTTACTATACCACGATAACTAAAAATTGGCAAGTCCAATTAGTTTCCAATTAAGCAAAATACAATGAATGAATTTGGTGACTATTAATTATCGCAATTCCCAAATTTGTGTTTAGTTTCTGCGTACAAAGGAACGTACACACCAGCAGAGTTCTGGTTTGGCAGATTATCTCTACATTTGGCTCCGTTTTTAGCAAGTTAGATGCAGTATCAAGACCGCGTAGAGCAGCAAACAATTGGAATTCTGATGGTGAAATTCTTACATGCCAGACATACAAAAATTGTCCAAATTTCTTCTCAAACTTGGGGGGAATCTGATACACAGAGTATATTGTAATCAACATTTTGTTTATACAGGGCTGCCAGAACCGCTTTTTAATCAAAAGAGAAAAAAAAATGTAAAAATTAAATTAACTTAAATCGAAATAACTCCAAAAACAAACCCGTTCATAGAATCATACTATACTCTATTAGCGCTATATTTTCTGTGGGTTCAGTTTTTGTAATTTCAGGTCTAGGATGCAAATATTTCAATCATGTAAAGTAAAAAACAAACGGAAACCACACAGGATGATGATAGAAGGCATCTTTTTGTAGATCTTTTCCATGCCTCATGTACAGTACTCCACCATATCTATGTGTGTTTGTTATAACAAACATGTCTTTAGAGATTAGTCAAGGCTCATCATTCTCGGAACATCAATTTTTATAAAGTACGGGTGGACGGACGGACGGACGATGTATAATTTTTTTTTTGAATAATAGAAAAGTTTATATACTGTGGTACTGTTAACACAAAATGTATTTAAACTACATTTTCTACAAAGATAATCCATAGATACGCAAGTAACTACAAACCACAGAAAGCATGGGAGATTATTTAGCTTATTTAGAGATTGGAGAATTAGCAAGTATCAGTAGATATTCACAATGAAAGTAAAAGTTAGAAATGGCGCATCTCATTCAACTTTAAATTATCCATTTGAAGAAAACAATTTTTGTTTGTTTCATGCTGAATGTTTGACAAGTAGTCATGGCTGTGTCGGGACATCAGACCTGTTGTGTGTATTATATGGCCTTCAAGCAAAATAGCTTCCAATGTATTTTTTTTTTTTTTGTGTAAAAGTATTTCATACTCAAAAATCAACTCCCTTCACATTCAAATACTATGGAACTGTTAACATAAGTTTGCCCAATTTTGAAATAAAAATATTTAAGATGACACTTCTGTTGTCTAATTAAGGAACTCTTAAAGTGCCATTTCCGGGGGTGCCATATTAAAAAAAAAATCTGAAAAATTCAATCCTGGATCCGGGCCACACAAAAATTGTTTCCTGCCACTCTGTTTAGGACAAAAATGAAATTCAGAAAAACAGATAATATAACTTAGGAAAAGGAACTGTTAGTCTGTCTCTTATACACATCTCTAAACAATGCAATGCATCATTTCAAAATATAGTTTCTTGGGTACTTGCTGAATAATAGAAAAGTTTATATACTGTGGTACTGTTAACACAAAATGTATTTAAACTACATTTTCTACAAAGATAATCCATAGATACGCAAGTAACTACAAACCACAGAAAGCATGGGAGATTATTTACTGTAGCTTATTTACAGATTGGAGAATTAGCAAGTATCAGTAGATATTCACAATGAAAGTAAAAGTTAGAAATGGCGCATCTCATTCAACTTTAAATTATCCAATTCAATAAATGCTCACAATTGATTAAAGATTTGTGAGGAATTGGCAGTTTCAAGGGGCTGGAGGGTGGCCAGCCATCTCCCTCCCCCTTAAACTTTAAAATATTGGGGAGAAAAATGGAAAATTATTTTATCTTTCCTCAGCCCCAACCACAGTGATGCTGGGGTGGTCTATGTTCTCCATCTGTGAAAGTCCCTCACAAGGCCCTCTCTATTTTGAATTCCCATATCTGCCACTGGTCATGTTTATGAATACAGAATTCCGTAATGCTGTTGTACAATATTAAGGCTCCTTTGAGAAATATATCATTCAGGCACTACTACAAATGTTACTTTTGACTATGTGTACATTTAAATTTACTCATCTATAGCCAGAAGCAAGAATGGCTTTCTACGATAAAATCCAATTTGATCGACATACATGATGGACTTTCCTATTAAACATATAGAATGTTAGAGTTTCGCTGTCCATTTATCATTGTCTATTCCAACCAAGAGAATATCAGATATCATTAACATTGGTGTGACTGACAGTAAAAATTCTACTAATGGTACCCGAAGAGAATTTGAATAGTCAGCCTTCTAATTTGACCAATACATGACAATAATCAAAAAATAGACTAGCTATTTACTAACTCACAGAATGATTTGATGATTTCATTTTTATTTTTTTCCTATACCAACGAATAACCAACAACATGTGCAGACTAAATTTGATACGTTTCAACTGCTATCAGCTAGCCTTCGTCAGCTAATTAGATTATAAAAATAGATAGCAAGAGCAAAAATTGAGGAGACTTGTTTTTGTATTTTCACAAACACGCATGTATCTATGGTGATTTCTCGGAAAACGTGCGTGGCATTGCAGGTGCTTGATCGTCAAAATAAGACCTGGCTACGTGAGGCTCTGCCCCTGGACCCTGTTTAGGCAAAGGAACTTCAAATGTCTTGATGGCCTTGAAAATAAAATATAAGTACCCTTGTATTAATAGTTGCTTAATTATAAGCTATTAAGGATAATTTTACATATAATAATAATATTAAAAATAATGATATTAAATATAATAATATTAATAATAATAGTAATAGTATTTATATTTATAACATTTATAAACAAAATTTAATCCATTGCCCATTATGGCCTGGCCAGTCTTTTAGCTTAAATTTGTTCTTTTTATCTACTTTGTTGCTTTGATGTTTTTATAAGACGTGAATTGTGATTTTACTTTATTTCCAATGTCTGTTTTTGTATCTTATCTTTTAATCACTTTTAAAATTTTATTTTTGTTCTTAATTGATTTTATGTAAAAGATTATAAAAATTCAGTTTTTCTGTGAAGATGATTTCATAAATACAAATATACCACTATGAATGAATGAATGTTTTATCTGATTTTTCTATAAATTGTGCCTTATTTTAACTTGTATGTTTTGGAAGAATATTTAATTTAATTTCTTCTTCTTTACACTAGGTATCCTATTCAATAGTACAAATGCAGCAATACATTTAATAAATATGAAAAGTTTAAACCATGACATTTTTCGATTTTTCAACCATCATTATCAAGTGAGAGTAACTACTGCTAAACACTAAGCTTATAGAGCACTACAGTGTTACGTCACGATACCATGTGATACTACTCCGTTGCTTTCGTTTCAAATTGTGTTTAACCGGACGCCATTTTCTTCACTGACAAACCATTGATCCCAATTTCTAATGTAATTATTAAGATGTTGTATCTTAGTTTTTCTTTGTAGATTTTAATTGATGATTAAATGTGTGTTTGACAAATGCGAGCTTTTGTGTTTTTAGTACATTTTGAGGGTAAAATATTAGATTTTAAGATGCCTATTCCAGAAAGCCTATGCAGGCATTCAGGCGTAATGAACTGTAACCAACGTCTGGTTGGCAACAGAGGGCACTACCTGGCGTTGTGACGACACGACTGTGGTACTCTATAAGGAATAATGAAATAAGGCCAAATAAAATTAATTGATAGTTTCACGTCCAAGATTTGAAATTATTTTTCAGTAAGGGTATTTACTATTTGCTTTTTATTATCCTATATGTTAATGGTAAACAGACTGGTAAATAGTAAAAATATATATTTTTTTTTATAATAGAAGTAAAATGAATTTTTCTAATGTATTTCTGCCACCTATGTTCCTACCTAGCTCTTCTTAGTCTTGACATCATTCTTTCAGACAGTCATTATTTTTATTGTTCATGGAAAAATGAATGTTTTTTTATTTTTAAAAAATAGCAAATGTGGCAAAGACAAGTCAAACCATTCACTCGTCGCAAAAATCAATTTTGAGTTATTAATACAGTGTTAGAGAGTAAAATAATAGCTATAAAATGGTAAAAAAAATCATTCAAATCGGACATTTCCTTATGAAGTTACAAGCATTTAACCACACAGCTGTTTAAAGAACAATATATGAGAAATTAGCCGTCAAAGTTTATTATTTCAGGCATTTCTCCTGCAGAAACTATCTTTAAATCCTTAAAAAGTATTGTTTTAACATTGAAAATG